CATTTGTAAGTGTTATTATAAATCTGTCTGATCCTCTGCGTGACAAGATATTTATAATTGCATTCTTTTCGATCTAAAAGACACAGACATCAAAGTGATATTAATAACTTCCCCCATCTGAAATATATTTTGCGGCTTCTGAGTAAAGAAAAAACTAAGACCTCATTCCCAGAGATTAGATCTATCCAAACTAGATCGACCTAACTCCCTGGGGGTGCACGCTAAATAGCTGTCACCCTAGCGGGCACGAAAGTTAATTACCCCCTTACAGCTTGTAGTAGGTGGGACGGACATTTAAGCCGGATTATCTGACTGTAATCTAGTGAGACTCCCCACGGGGATAGATCGATCTAAAACTATGGGAAAACGTCCTAATACTTAAATTTGTAATAATATGTGTTGAAATTGACTCAAATTATTTTGTTTTGAGATCAAGGTTAGCAAGATGCGTTGAAATGTGTCACAAAATATATATATATTCTGGATCTGCCAATTTTAAGATGTGTTTTTTCTGCTCAAATTAAAAAAGCATGTCGCCCCTTGGCCTGCCCTATATACCGCACTATATGTATAATCTATATATAGTACTAATGATACTTTCAAATGTCCATGGAAAGACCGACATATTTCCTTTTCCCGAATATTTAATTAAGCTCGGCACCATTTTTTGAGTAAAAAGCATGAATGGTGGTGTTAAAATCCCAGTACAAAAAGAGAAAGTAATAGGAGCAAGTTCCAATACAAACCGACCCACGTTTTCTTAATGTCAGTAATTCATATTTTATTATTTTATTTGACAAGAGTCTATGCCAATTTAAGTGTGCATAAATATGTCTTTATTATACTTCATCATAATTTTCTGTCGTGAGATGTCCTAAATAAATAAATAAATAACACATTAGAATGTCTTTGTTTTATAGTTATATATTGGTGTGCTTTGTGTGACTGCATTGATGTGGATGACAGTTGAGATTAATCCTTTCTGAATGGTGACAGGTAGGGCGAGTCCTTTTGATTTGAGGGGTGAGAGCTGGGTAGAATACATCCGATTTGAGGGGTGACAGGTGGGGCGATTTCATTGCATTTGAGGGGTAGCAGGTGGGGTGAGTGCATTGCATTTGAGGGGTTGGAGGTGGGTCGAAACCATTTGATTTGAGGGGTGACAGTTGGGACGAGTCCATTCCATTTGAGGGGTAACAGGTTGGGCGAGTCCTTTTGAGTTTAGGGGTGAGAGGTGGGTCGAGTCCATCCGATTTGAGAGGTGACAGGTGGGGCGATTCCATTGCATTTGAGGAGTAGCAGGTGGGATGAGTCTATTGCATTTGAGGGGTGACAGGTGGGACGAGTCCATTCCATTTGAGGGGTTATGGATGGGTTAAGTCCATTCCATTTAAGGGTAACAGGTGGGGCAAGTCCTTTTGAGTTGAGGGGGGATGGGTGGGTCAAGTCCATTCCATTTGAGTTGTAGCAGGTGGGGAGAGTCCATTCCATATGAGGGATGACAGGTGGGGCAAGTCCGTTTGAGTTGAGGGGGGATGGGTGGGTCAAGTCCATTCCATTTGAGGTGTAGCAGGTGGGGAGAGTCCATTCCATATGAGGGATGACAGGTGGGATGAGACCATTTGATTTGAGGGGTGACAAATGGGACAATTTCATTTAATTTGAGGGGTGACAGGTGGGACAAATCCATTCCATCTTAGGGGTCACAGGTGGGCCGAGTCCATTCAGTATAAAGAGTGCATGCAAGTTAAATCATCACAAAAATACATTATAATGCAGTTGCAATGAGCCATATAAAAGAACACATTTTTTTAAAGTATTGTGTAAGCAAACTTTGGAGGAAATAAACTTGTATCGTGCATAAATAGACATTAAATTATTAGTCTGAAATTTGCTTCAGCACAATTTAATAAAATGTAACCTTTTCTTCTGCACATTTGGGACTGTGTGGAAATAAAGTTAAATTATCAAAATTAAATTATATATGAATTTATTTCAAATATTATTTTAATAAGATTTTTTAAATACATTGGAATATACAGAACCAATTCTTTAGGGGGAGGAGTAATTTCAACTGTTACCATTTCAGAATTATGTCAGGTTCTCTCAACTTTCTCATTATTTCGTTCAAATTTAAAATGAAATTGGATCAATTTTCTGTAGCAAAAACCAAAGCCCTTTTAAAATGGACCTATATTAAATTAAGAAAATGATATGAGGACGACCTTATTTATTCCAAGAGATATAAATACAATGTAGCTATAGAATAAAATGTAATATATAGATTTTCAAAAACCAAAATCATAAATCCATACAACTTGTATTTATACAAGTGTGTTAGAAAATCTTGAAGATGAAAATGCTCTAACTTTTTTATTTTTATTTTTTAATTTTTTATTATTATTTACAAAATACTGGGCGTATTTAAAAACATTTTAAGCTTTTGGATTTAAGATATTTTCTGTTACTGTAGAAGTCATTAATCCCAAACGCAATATTTACAGATCAGTTTTAGCAGATTAAAATTGAAAGTGCTCAGACAGTGATCATATCTTCATAATTTTACCCCTCTCCCTTTATCTTCACTTCTATCTTTACCCTTATTATTCCATATCAAAGAGAAAAAAACACGGAATAACAAACATATTTATTCAGTTTTAATATAATAGAAGCATGAATGTGCGTAGGGTTCCAGAACGTGAAAGGCTTGGTTGCTAGCAGGCGCGTGTCGAGCAGTACTCAGTATCTCAGTGGACCTCTGAAATGTAAAAAGTAATGTTAACAATATCTGACTAAACAGGCAGGCTCGGAATATACGAGTAATGCATTTTACGTCAAGATGGCACTTGAAATGCCGTGGGTGTTTATTGACTTGTCCGATGTTCAGGCTCAGATTCACGTAGCACCCAGTAAAGGCAATCAATATCGATGTTGAATTATGCCAAAGTTAAGATCTGAAGTTAATGATAAAGATATTTGAGATATCTTGCTTTGAAAACAGTAACATTGAAAACACTTCTTAAATTCGTGTAGGTACTAGGGGCTTAAATGTATTTTACTTACTATTTAATGTTGTAATATCTAAAGTCGCTAAGCATCACGGGTTTGGGGGCCATATTTCGCTTCATAATAAACCATTTCCCGTATTTCAACACTGCTTACAAACATTTTACAGGTACATGTATAAAAACTGATTTTAAATTGATAAAAAGAAATGAAGCCCCACAGAGATAAAAGTAACCATAAGATTATTCAAATGAGAAGGAATTTTTATTTCTTTTTAAACTACCGTGATCGTCGTAAAGGGAGACGTTTGAATTTTTGGTAAAATTTGACCATACATGTAGAAGTAAACCAAAGAATTTATGTACACGTTGATGGGGAACACTTATCATTAAATCAAAAGCTGAGAACTTGGACAATCATTATCATCTAAATTAGGCTATCTTTGTAGTAATATTCCCATCTACTAATATGCTAGCTAATGTTCTGATAAAAGACACGGCAGGCAAAATGTAACAAAGAATCGTAACAAATAATTGTCATATGTCATCATGCTCAACCTCATACTAACACAGACTTGGGAAGGTCACAGAGTAGTCAAAAGCTTTGTTAGGTACAGCTCAAGTCAGAATGAAAAACTTAAGCTTATAATATAATAAATATTTGTCGTAAATTTTCTTGCATTCGTCTTTAATATCTATACTGACAGAGGTTACTGAAGAAAAGGTGATACTTACGAAATATCCATTTGCTTCTACGCCTTATAAAAGCTCTACATTGCGACTGCAGCACGCGTTGAACATTGCGTCTTCTCTCAACTGTGTCCCACTGGAAAGTGAGCATTCGGGAAGACAGCTCGCGCTACGTTGAGCGACTTATTGTTATGCAAATCACGAACAGGTATGGTTCATTTTAGGTGGGGGACTGGGGCTGACACTGTTCACGAATGTTCACGGTCCAATACATGTAGATTTGACCAAGGACGTATACTGAACGTCCTTGATTTGAATGAGGTCCACTTGTTGTTAAATGTTGAATACACCACTCTCTTTCAGAAATATTGCACACGTGTTTTCCATCATGCAGTTTCATTTATATCTGATACATTACTTCCACAAAACACAACTCTAAGGGAAAGAGAATGTATCTTGATAATGTTTTTTCCATCCATAGACGTACACATAATCCTGTTGTTTTATTAAAAAAATAATGGAATAGATAAATCCGAGTACTGATCCAAGTACCGAAAGAAAGAAAATAAGCATCGAGAAACGTATGTCCTAACAAGTAATAGGCCAAACAAAACTGTATTTTATGTTAATAATAAATGTAATTGGTAGACATAGTGTTGGGTCATACAAGACGGGTCCCTTTTATATAACTGTCCACTCTACTGTGGGGATATTTTGATTTCATCATTGCCCTGCAGAAGTTTTATCTGGCTGTCTTGAAAAAGTTAAAAAAGGGTTTTACTTTTTTTGCCATTCGTTCTAAATATTCTTTCGGCCTAAACAGCCAGGGCTTCGATGAAATCAAAACCTCACCTGTCGCATTTGCTTACTGATGCGTGGCTCTACGGAGATTAAAAGAAAATATATTTCTTTATAACCAGAGGACGGCAAAAGAGGTAGCGAATAGGTGTGAAAGGCATGCTTTTAAACTCTCCAAATGAGAAGAAAAGCTTGATCAGATCTTGTGGAGCAAATTTCACTGATACGCATCAAGTTACAAAATCAAATCACTACCCCATTTCAAACTAAATATAGAAATTAAATGATGCTCCAATTTCAGTCAAGAACGAAAGGCGCCGTGTTTTTTTCTTTATAGTGCTCTTTTCCCCGCCTTTGCAAATTAAATTTGAGTCCCAGGAACGCGAGCCTATAAATTATTGACCCTGGCTAGGTGTATAATTAATGCGGAGGAACGCGGCCGGTCGCGGCTCGCACTTAGTTTTAATCTCCGGCGAAAACCACCCATACCTCGCTCGCTATGCTAGCTTCATTAACTCTTATCGCGGGCACACAAAGAAGAGCAAACATTGACGTTGTGATTGGCCACCGTTTTAACACGAGAGTTGCGAATGCTGAGCAAAGATGACAATTTGTGGAAAAGACTGCAGTTGTGACGCAGCCAAAAGGTAGAACAAGGTCGCCGGAATAAGGGTGCATTACCAAAAACTAAGGGGGTAAGTGGCACTTTAAAGATGTTTGTGGTGCATGAAAGAAATCTCGTTTCCGGGTAGGGGAGATTTTTTTAATCCGAAAGAGGAGTTTTGTAAGGGAGTCGCCAATCTGCACGAGCGAACTTTGACAACTGACAGCTTCTGATTACAACTATTTACGTTGAACGTGATGTGTTTATGTTTAATCTGATTCCTTAGAGTATACTACAAAAGAAATTGCTATTAATGTCTTTATATCAGGCATGCATGCCGCTTAATTATAATGAATTCACTAATAAATTGATATGCGTCGATTTTAAACCAAATCAATAAAGGGCGTATGCCCACCACGGCAGCTGCAGTGAGATTTTATTTATTTGGTAAAACAAACTTGTGGTGACGAAAATACCAACATTTATGTACACATATTTGCCTCCGACATGAAGTAAAATTTCACTGATAGCTCTTTTAGATCGGTCGAATTTGTACGGTTTAAGCTGTCTATGACTATCTTTGATTCTGTGAAACCCGTCGATTATTTGAGTATGTATGCCTTAAATTTTCTCTAACTTAATATTTTTCGGTGAAAATATATTTCATCTTAAACTTGATAAAGATATTAAATGCAATAGGCTTCCGCACATTTCTTCGCAATATCATGAAAATAATTGTTTTATTTGAATATCTGGATAGCAAGTTAAATAACGTTATGAATATTAAAAAATTGCCTGCATAGAGATTGGTCAATTTTGGTCATAAGAGTCTCGCCTTAAAAATTGGTTTCTGTGTTTGTTTTTGAGGCATCTAATAGGCAAAACTTTAGTAGGCATGTTAACATTGAATTTTACTGGTGTGACATTCTAGATCAACTGTTCTAAATTTAATGGAATATTTTCCTATTCAAAATTACAGTACAATCGAAGATATATATATACAAAATTCTGTAGTATTATAGTAAAAGTAACAAATCGCATTGACAAGACATAGTTATGTAGACAAAGTTATAGGGAACTTATGGAAATCTAAAAAAGGTGTGTCTGTACATAAAAAAACACATGCATCTCGACGGACGCCATTTTTTTTAATTAAAAAAAATATGGCTTGCGATTTCCTGGCGATGTTGAGATTGTCATATCGGAAAGGCCCCGTATTCTATTTACTGACATTGGATGCGTGATGCTAAGACCTGAGTATAAAATAAACCGGAAAGATATGGTGATATTCCTTTTTTTTTTCAATTACATTAATATCAAATTGGAAATATGGAAAATTAAGAGTTATTAAAAGAAAGAGAGGGAGAGAGAGAAGGAGGGAGAGAGACTCTTTGAAAAAATGATTCATTAAGCTTTGGCGTAATTCATAAGTTAGTGAAAAACTCAGCAGGTTTTGTTACTGAATAATAAAGAAACGAAGACCATCTTGCAACAATCATACTCAAGCAATACGAAATCACCAGCGGCAGCCTACGTCATTTATATAGTCGTGCAAATATTCAAAAACGCATTTATTTAATACACCCATATCCTTTATTGATCAAGTTTCTTGACTCCCGCTTGTTATATCACCCATTATGCTTAAAATGACATTTTGCTGTAGATAGTATCCGGGGAGTAATACATGCAAGTCTAATATATCGAAGTTGCGGTAATTGAGGAGACTTCAATATCTAACAAGCTGCGATAGAAAAGAGCGTAGCTGTTATTAATTGATTGATTAATTCTGTATATATGGGCTTTGAAGACCCCCGTCCATTTATTTTCCAGTAGTTAATTTAAAATCTGTGCCTCTCTCTTTCGCCCCTGACCCTCTCTCCCCCCCCCTCGCGCGCATGCAAACACACGCATGCAAACATACGCGCGCGCGCGCGCACACACACACACACATACACACTGCAAAAACATATTAAAGAAATACCTATGTCGACTTAGGAATATACCAACCTCTTGAGAATCTAATTAATTCAGCTAATCCAATCCATCCTCTAATAACTCTTTATGAAATCATATAAGTTTCAACGATGTTTATTTTTCCTGCGGGTAAATACCAATATTGTTCCAATTCCTTTATACCGTGGACGTACATTTATCATAGTCAGTACATTGTTAACTACCCTGGATACACCTTCATTTCCTAGGGACTTTATTCTACCTTAATTACCTTGTGTTGTTCTTTCTAAGACTGATCATCTTAAACAATATACAGCATTGGCTTTAGCCCCTTATGAGCTGATATTCACTGTACATAAATATGATATGTTGAAAAACTTTTTATAACAACTGCATTTTGTACACGTCGTCAAGGGCACCTAGTAAATGAGTATAGCCGTCGTTTCACCCATCTAAGAAGAATTTTGTGAGACCAGAGGACCTGGCCGATGCCAGTACGTAACATTTTACTGGACTGGTGCCATTATACGAAATATCTTTAAAACGTTAATGGAGCATTGCTAAGGTGACAGTTGTGATCTACTTTGGAACCACTGATGACGCGAGGGAAATTGGTCATTTGTATATTTTTTCTTGCCAAAGTGTGTGTGTGTGTGTGTGTGTGTGTGTGTGTGTGTGTGTGAAAAGAGAGAGATAGATAGAGAGACTCTATCTGTGTGTGTGTGTGTGTGTGTGTGAGAGAGAGAGAGAATGAGAGAGAGACCAGGACTGGTAGCCTGATAAATAAACCGACCCCGGTCGTAGCCGTGGTCAACCAGTGTCCCACCAAGAGTCCAAATGAAAATATTTTCCTTTAAAGTACATAGCACCTAATGACGATTTTATTTACTTAATTTCGTGTCTATTATCAAAAACACTTTTACTGGCTGGGGTATAGAATTTATGAATGTCTATCTTGTTTGCGACACTTGCTTATTCGCTCAAAGGATAAACATTTATGTTTACCACCAAACAGATTGGTGGCATTGTTAATTTAAATGTAACTTCCTCAAATCGGAGCAGGATTCAATATTGACCCTCCGGTTGTATTTGCTAGTAAACCCCGATCTGCAGGTGATAGAAAGTAGCTTTACCTGGGCACAAAAACGGTCAAGCCCCCCACAACCCCGACATCGCGTCCTATTTTGCGATCAACTGCAGATTCAGTCCGAGAACTGACTGGTATATTTAAAGGAACATCTTTCCAATAAATAAGGCTTGGATTTGCAAGGATTTGGCAGTAGAACTCTCGGACGTTTACACTAGCGACTTAAAAGGTTATAGTAACTCGAAGTTATTTCAGGAAGACATTTTCGAGATTAATTGAAGAAAGGTGACTAATTCTACCTATTTCCCACGCTGTCCACAATGAAGATCAGCATTTTCAGAACACGCTAAAAACAGTGTTTCCTGCCAATTTAAGGTGCAATTTATGTCGATTTATACCATACCTATGTTGGAAAGTCTGCCAACACTAAACCTGCCACACTAGAAGAATTGAACAGTAAAAGGCGATTGGGATTTTTGAATATTGATTGAACCTCTGGCGTTGATTGATATTTGGATATATACAGGGGGATTTATATACGATATCTCCACCAGAAGTCAAAGTGTAAATAATACAAGTTTCAGCAAGTTTTCGTATTATATAAACAATGCTCGTATCATATTAACCGGGGAAGATAGAGAGAAACGGAGACTCGCGTAGACCCACGACCGGATTGCAATTAATTTGAACTACTTAGTTTGTTAGCGTGTTGTGGAGTTAATTTCATCTCCTGAATCTTATCTTCACTGAAACCTACGTGTACTAGTATTCACTGGGCTTATAACAGGGATATATAACAAATGCTCTGACTTTGATCATCAGAGTCATAGGGTAAGTTTACATGTGTCTAGACTGCTTAAAATTAGTCTCTGCTGTTATAAATAGCCCTTTCATTTCATAATAGTTGTATCACCGCAGCGACTTATTTTTTTCCTTTTTTAATAAGATACGTCCCATACGGCAAAAATACTTTAAGGATTATACGTCAAAATAAATAACTCAAATATGACTTCAATATAGCGTATAGAGGGTACTGCGGAAACAGGTATTTTTAGAACTAGCGTCTTCCTAAAATGTTTGATGAAGGACGAACCATTCCTAACACTAATGTATGTGTTTGAGGGGTGATGATGTTAGTATTGTGTTGTTTGTAAAATAGTAAAATAAAATAATCTAAGTTAGATATAAGTGAGACGCAGAGTGAAAAATGAAATGCTTGATCACATTTTTACACACCATAATATTAATAATTTTATTAGTGCCTTTTACGGTATAAATGGGCCTTATGGTCAGCTCTATATAAAAATGCAATAGCCATAGGAGTGCCTCTCATTTAACGTGTACTATTCACTCTTCCGTATCAATATATATATATATATATACTCATCAACTTTGAGACTCTATCAAACCAGCATTTACCCGAAAAAAAAACGTGTGTTTACATTGTGATTAAATATAGATAGCGACATGTAACTTTACAGATTAATCGTGTTTACAGGTGTGTTAACTGGCTGAAGAGGCGCAGTGTGCCCTCCCGCATTTCACGTGAGATAATAATGGTTTGTGTTACTTAATCCATAGTCAAATATTCATGCACGCATACAGTAGCGACGGGAAAATATTTTTAAAATCTTGGTAGAGACAACTTCGTTTTTTTTTCAAAGAACACAAAGATCCTACCCTGTTTCTTTTTCTATTGTCATTACAACCTTTGTTGTTGTTGTCTTTATATTGTTGACAACAGCATCTTTATGTAACTGCACTACATTTATTATGGACCAATCGTTAGCAAAAAGCTAATAGACCAACATCGCTTAGTCGACATTGCGTAGTCGGCTATCCGTGTTTAACCGTATCAGCTAGCAACTACGGGTAGATCACGCCCGTCTTTCGTGATTTCAAACCGCAGGTTTGTGGTTGCGAACGCCAAATTACGATTTCATGGATGCGATCGTTAAAATACTTGTTGCGAGCACCGCAGCATACATTGCGAACCACAAGTCCCCTTGCCTTTTAGTTCGGCACGTTTTGTATGTCAATATTTCGAGAACTTAAATTCAGTCTATGACAGACTTAATCTGTTACCGGAAAGGCTATTTATTTACAATTTATTTTGATTTTATGAATTTGATATTGGCTCGAAAAAATTTGAGTTCTTTTTCATTTTCTTTCCAGACTGTCACTGCCATGTAGGCTGATTGTGGACATCCAGTTGGATAAAGAAACTCTCAAATCGTCTGCACCAAAACCGTCCGCCTGCGCACGCCTCCAACAAACATGGCGCTCAGCGGCGGAATGAACTGCATCCGGGTCTTCCTGGTCATCCTCAATATCATTTTTGCTGTAAGTTACTGGGGAAGGTAGTTTAAGACATCAAGAGGGCTAACATGAGCAAGAGCTAACAATAATGGATGTGTCAAAAATAAATTAAAAATGGGCGAGTAATTAAAACAAATGGTATCTTTGTCTTGATTTTCGCTATCTCACTTCATTAAGGAGGCTGTAAGAGTTTATTATCATCCAGATACAGATTTTTTCTGCATCTAATTATTCAATTATGCATCTGCCTTTGTGCTGATTTAAAATAATAACAATACCCTCGAAAATATAAAATGCCGGCGTTTCTATTTCTTGTATACGTAGCTATGTAGGCCTATAAGCAAAGACAACTCAAAGCTTTTTATCGTCAATTTAACACCAACAACATTTTGAAAGTCTGACACATATTTAGGAAAAAAGATGAAAAATTTGAAGGGCTCTAGGCCTATGTAGCCAAGTCTGCAAAAATTAACTTGAAGCTATATTCTATATATTTTTGTTTAGCTTCTCGGAGCCGGACTCCTTGCTGCCGCTCTGTTTGTGTTGTTTGGTGGTGATACGTTAAGCTCTACATTAGCACCTTTACTGAACCCTATAGGTAAGACGGCAACAGTCACTAGTGCATACTTTGTATACGTAAGATATATTTTGACATTATTCACTAATTAATGCTTATTTTCAATCGTATTATATACAGTGTAATAACGCTATCATATCATAAAAGTACTCGTACGTCACAGATTGTNGCCGGACTCCTTGCTGCCGCTCTGTTTGTGTTGTTTGGTGGTGATACGTTAAGCTCTACATTAGCACCTTTACTGAACCCTATAGGTAAGACGGCAACAGTCACTAGTGCATACTTTGTCAGATATATTTTGACATTATTCACTAATTAATGCTTATTTTCAATCGTATTATATACAGTGTAATAACGCTATCATATCATAAAAGTACTCGTACGTCACAGATTGTAACCATTCGTGAAAAGATGCCCTTTTAAAAAGCGAGCGTATCCTGGACCCCAAGCATTTACTCATACAAACCATTCTTGCTATTTTCATATTCAGACATTCCGTATTAATGAACTGAATAAGACTACCATTTTCTTCATAGTGAGCGAAATGGTCCCTTCATGTTCTGTAGTTTTATAGTACAATATATATATATACCCCAAATTTTTTCTCATTCATCCAATGAATAAAAAATGAAAGGGCACACAGTTCAAACCATTCAGTTAATACAGTAGTTTTCCATAAAGACAATTGTAATATCCATATTTTAGGCGCAGACTCGCTCCCTATAGGCGAGATTCTTAAGTCGGGGGCGTACGTCCTCATTGGCGTGGGGGCGCTGGTTCTGATCCTGGGTTTTCTGGGTTGTTGCGGGGCCATCTGTAAGTCCGTCTGCATGATAGACTTTGTAAGTATACAGTACGTAGATATTTGTAAGAAAAGTTTATACAGTGAAGTACCACTACAAATGTGAATTGAAGGGATTGTAAGCGAAATTATCTTGTATGTTTTAGGTGAACCGTGTTATATTGTTTCAGAACTCTAAATGCACAATATACAAGATAAAAGAAGGTATTTAGAATTAAGTTTAATTATCATTTTGTTTCTCTTATCCCCTAGCAACTACAAGCTCATCGTTCTGAATACCGTGGACACTGCGACAATCAAATTATCGTCGTTTCGTTGAATAATGAAAGCATTTCTTTCTTTGAAATCATTTCTTGTAACCGCCATATTTTGTAATCGTATAGTTTTCAATGTTTTCAGTATGCAGGCATCGTGGCGCTGTTGCTGATTGTGGAAATTGTGTTAGTTGTGCTTTTCTTCGTCATAGAAGACAAGGTAAGCCAGAGTATCATCGCATTGTGCTAGCTGTACTATACGTCTCACTGAATTGTGGCATGCACTGGATTCGTGTACTAAAAGAGAAATGCTTCATATTTTACGACGTAATTGTTTTAATGATAATGTGCTGTCGTAGTAGTAGTAATAGTAGTAGGTAGTTAGATATAACAGTGTCAGCAGCAAAGAAGAAGCAGAGAGAGAGAGAGAGAGAGTATAAATATAAACCAGTAAATAAAACTAAAACTGAAAACAACATATTTTTCAGGTCGATCAGCAGTTAAAAGACTGGCTCAATGTAACCCTGGTGAATAATTTCCAAGGTCTTCCCATCCCCATAAGCACCGACAATATCGACGCATTGTCCCTCGGATGGAGCTTTTTACAAATCTCGGTAGGCATATTGTAACTATCTAATTTTACTACCTTTATGAATAAGCCGTGCTGAATTCGATCGATCGGCATTCATGTTAGTGCATTTGTTGTAAAGCCTTATTTATTGAACTTTTATTTAATACTGTGATATCTTTCTGTTTTTCAGTTTAATTGCTGCGGGATCAACAATTACACAGACCTACATTACGCAACACAATGGAACCGCAACGTTTCAGATAACTTCACTCTACAACTGAACTATCTTCTGAACACCCCCAACGCGACGCAGCGCCTGGAGCTGGCGCCCTCTTGCTGCAAGATGAACGGGCAATTCCCTGACGTCACACCCGTCGACATCTCGTGTCTCGTTAATCCGAACACAACTAATGCCAACATAGAAAAGGTAAACTTCGTAATCACGTACAGTTTACTCCAAATCTTTAGTGGAAATTACAAAACTGCAACAATTGAGAAAGACATACTTGGGGTGGATTAAACATTCAACATCTCATCACAGTTGTGTAGATTATTGAAAAATTCTTTCATTGCAATTAAATCATTCTGTCATTGCAATGATAACTTGTAAATACAAAAAAAAAAACGAAATAAAAATTTCATTGCTCTCTTCTTACAGGGTTGTTACCAGGCACTGAAAGATGCCCTTCTGTCCAATAGTGAACTTCTTATGGGGGTCGGCATAGCCGTGGGTGCAGTGGAGGTAAAAAAAAATTAACAAGGCAAAAATACACAAAGAGCCTTAAACATTTGTAAGGATGAGCAAAAATCAAAATTAGCCCCTTGCACATTAAAAGATAATAACAAAACCTGACAAATAAACTTACGATTACTGACAACAATCACTTTACCGCATTCGTTTTGTTTTCAGTTGGGCGTGGTCGTGTTGTCTTGCTTCCTCTGTTCGGCATTCAACAACGAGAAAAAGATAAGACCGGCCGAACCGACAAAACCGGCCGAAACGACACAACCGGCCAAACCGCCTCCACCAGCGGAACCCGCAGCGAAGACCTCGAGCTGACGAGACAGTGATTTCTGTACGCACACGATGACAACGTATTCACATTATTAAGCATATCCAATAAAAATTGGCTTATGAATTCTTTAAGCCAAATACGTAGGCGTCTCCAGTATGGCGGAGTAACGCGACTTACACTCTTGCTAAAAATGATGGAATGTTCCAACAGAATATTACATTTGTGATTTCAATAAGTTTTAAACTTGTATGCCAACAAATTATTATTCTACCAACTCATTAGTGTTTTATTGTAATTTGATGTTTTATTATTAGTCTTTTATGGTATTTCTTGTTTTAGTACGCGAAGGATAGCACTTGTTAAACATTAATGAAAACCAGAGTTGGTCAAAGGACTGTAATATACAGTCAAAGTGTATCGCTTTTGTATAATTGCTGCAGCTTTTATATTGTAACGGTGATCTCCCTGCAACAGAAGTTGCAAGAAACGTGGCATTGTACCGCGCTCGATTTCTAAATCTATTTTATTTGACTGTGATCATATGTTTCTTATTTTCATCCGTCCTTTGTTTTTGGTTCGCAAAGTTTGATTCATGTTTATTTTGACGTCTGCCTAATGGTACGGAGATAAGTTGTAAACAAGTCTCCAGTTAATAATGAAGATTTCGCAGACATGTTCACCATTTTTGTCAAAAAGAACTTATATTTTATATACACTTTTATACACGCGCGCGCACACACACACACACATGTTACATCCACATGCTTCTTCAGCACGTGATTCAAGTTGTTTCTCACAAAACACGCCTTTAAGGGGAAAACTGGACGATTTTTGCTCTTAAGGAAACCTCTCCACGCTATGTAAAGTTTATTACGCAAAAGAAAGTGCAACTGTCTTTAGTACGACATACATGTACTGTATTTTGAGATGGGCATTGTGGTGTGCGTGAGACAAGTGCGTCAGGAACGCATCATAGTGCATGAACATTGCATTATTTCAATTTAGACATAATTAAATGTATATTTTCAGTTGTATCTCTGTAATGTAATTCGTCCAGATGGTTTATACTATTTTTAGAATCAGCATAATCATAATATTTGATTAATCGTTAATTCTTCGCTTATTGATGTTTTTTCATCATTTCTAAATTATTTTTCTGTGCTCGTATATTGTAAATAATATTTAAATGAAAATTGGCAATCAGTTAAATAAATGTAAAAACGAATATTTTATCACGAGTTATTCTCATTTGTAAATGCTCTGCACGAAATGATAATCGCTCATTTTTTGCATTTATTATTTCAAGCTTTAATCAGAGCTAAAAAAAAAACAGCATCTTGCAATGAAACGAAGACAATGGCAAGTTTTTCCGCAGACAGGGTCAAGGTGTGGCGTACGAATAATTCTGCTCTTATTGAAATAATTTGACGCTATTTATAATTCTTTACGCCGAAGAAAGTCCAAAGATTTGATAAATCGTTAATTATGTGCTTATAAATAATTTTTCATCATTTCCAAATTATTAATCTTCTGGGATCGTTTTTTTAAATAACATTTAAATGAGAATTGCCAATCGGTAAAATAAATTTACAAACCAATATCTAATAATGAAGTATTCCAATTTGCTCTGCACGAAATGAAAATTAATTAGAGCTAAAAACAGGATACCGTCTAGGCAATAAAACAAACGACATCAAACTAGCAGTTTACCAGGTTTATTAACAGGCGAAATTCATCATAACCTCCAGGTTCAGTTCCAGGCTTTGTCAAGATAAAAATAGGCTATTGATTGCATGGAAACTTGGTCCAATTTTTCTCGAATTTACGACGGAAGAAAGTAGAGGACTGTTTGAATAACACTGCTGCGATTAATATCTATAAATAAGATGTTTTTGTCGTTTGCATAGTTATGTTGCACACAGAGAGAAATGCAATACCAGAGGCAGTCATTTCCATTTACTTTCAACCTGGAAATTCGCCGTACATTTTCTGCTTCTAGGGGTTGTTATAGGTGACTGCACGCTTCTCGCGTACGCTGGCATCGTCATAGGCCCGCTTTTGGGAAGGGAAAGCGTTCATGTCGTGCACATCTGCACCTGACAGGACAAGAAGAATAAAATATATAGTGTAATTCTTCCATTGAGAATAAATCAAAAAGTAAAAGCAGCTCAATTCACTTTATCAATTGATTAATAATTGGTTCACTGAAAAAAAAATCTTATTGATTTTAAGTTAATTCGTTTTTGACTTTTCCTGGAACCCGTTTTATTAAATCCCGTGCATGACTTTTGAGTTAGGTTGCTAATTAAAAAACAAGCAAAGATAAAACGTAACCTCCTTGGTAAAACATACACGCATACAACCCATATTATTTATACAGTAAAGAAATATCTGACTGAAAATGGCAGGCCCGTAGCCAGGGGGGATTCGGGGGGTTCGAAAGAACAGCCCCTTTTGCTGGGAAAAGGTCCACTCTGGGTAAAATTTGATCTAGGTACATGAAGTTTTATGGGAAAAGGTCCACTTTTTCAGAAAAAGAACCCCCCTTTTGAAATTGCTGGCTACGGGCCTGAATGGCCACATTGAAGTTGAGGCATTGCAAATGTGGAGTCTCCCTACCTCTAAGCTTTTCATCTCTCTTGGCAACCTGGCACACCGTAGCTGAAAAAAAAATACGTGATTACAGAAGTTTTAGGTCAACAGTTGCTTATAGGCACAGGGGTTTCCATCACAGCAAAGATGGGCGTTTTCAAAAACTATGCTGATTTCAGGGTGGCTAATTAGGTATCACATATAATGTGCCAGGGCTCAAAAATCCATTCCTTTTTTATCCTGTGCGCAACTTTAGTCCCACCCTCGACCCTAATCAGCATTTTTCCACTCAAAATATCTGTTGCCAAGGTAACAAAAAAAAAAAAAAAAAAACTCAATTTGGGCTTGTTTCCGAAATCTTATTTCCAAAACGCGAAGTCGTGTACTGTAAATCGACTCTATCAACAGACCATATTAGAACTACTGTAGATATGTTTAGAGAAACACGTGCATCTAGATCAACTAGGCGTAAATTATAAAGCAACTCCGTTTAAGAATTGAAATGCTGGTGACATCATTCAATTCAGTATTTGAATTTTTAAATTTATATCTTGTATTTAAATATCCTTACCGTTGCTCACAACTAGCAGCATAAGAAAACACACAAGAAGAGCTGTTCGCTTCATGCTTGTTGCGGTTACTCGATGCGTCTCGAGGACAAGAATGAAGATGAGAGAACCACACTACTTCAAGGTTTTTATACTGTAGTCAGTAATTTGTAGAGAATGGATAATTTGCTAATGATGAAANATTGCCAGATTAGACTACATCATTACACAACGTTGGCTAAATCTAAAGTAATTACAAATTATTGTAACCCGGCTGTATTGGTTCTGGCTGTATTATTTTAACTGTAGATCATGCTGCAATGTTCTGTAAAAAAAGCCTTAGCAACTTCCAGCAGATTTTATGAAAAAAAGTACGTTTGAACAATGACAACGACGTTTTATGAGAGTGAAGTGCGTGAGGAAAGCAAACGTTCAGTCGATGTTTTCTATTTTAAAATTCATCTGAAAAATGCAGTGTGGCTTTAAAAATTCGACAAAAAATTGAACTTCTGAACTTTCATGCAATGTCGGTAAGTCGAGTAAGTAATTTTATTTAAAAAACAATCTGCAAGAGAGGAAAGGAGTCCATGTGTTCATTTTATTAGATATTACAGATGCTTTAAGTTGGATGTTTTTTTTGGTGTGTGTGTGTTGCCTTACCTTTATAATAGTTTTTTTACACGTTTAATTAATATAAGAATGTTTTGGTGATTTTTTACTTCTATCTTGAATTCTTTATACGAGGTCCTGAATTTACTTTGATTGAACATTTCTTTTTGTCGTCCGTCCCTCCTTAACAGTTGCCCAGTTTGCCATGTTGGTATCACGTCTTGCGTTACTGAAGATGTTTGCGTGAAGGGGCCCGCACACGATGAGCATTTAGCGCGCGCCACTTGCGCTGCGCCGTTTTCTCATCGTTTGCGGGGGTAATTTGGTGAGATTTTTGCCTCTCGCGCGGCTGAAAATATCTCACGTGTTTGATATTGAGGCAAATGTCTCAGCGTGTGCGGGGTGTAAGCGCCGATTGCTCACGCCATGCCAACAATGCGCATGTGCCGGTAGCCGGAAACAAAGAAAAATGGCAGCCCCCAGCGAAGTAAACAAAAATGTACACAGTTATAGTTAGTCTGATTGATTAACGTGGTCACCATTTGCCATTACTTTCAGAAAAAAAATTAATATGTAATGTTTCCTTAATCACATGATCCCACAGTTCGCGGTGCGTCCGATAGGGGCAGCCCGGGAGGCACCTCTGCTGAGCAAAGAGCAAGTGGCGCGCGCTTACCGTGTGCGGGGTGCTTGATGGAAAGGATATGATACAGAAATAGCTTGAAAACAAATCTCTCGTTATTAAAGAAGCATTTGTCGACATCTTCGTCATTTTTGCAGGAATAAATTTGTATGCCCGTTCGAGTGTTCAGTGCTCTACATGCTCAGCAGACGGTGTAAAATTATGCTGCACACATAACGTACCAGATGGATGCAAAATTAGGCCTATAATGGGGGATTCGCCATTCAGAAGAAAATATTGGGCGGTTGGGTGGCATAATCGTATACATTTCTCCATGATGGTTTGCACTGTTTTGAAGGTCGACACAATAATAGTAATAAGTCATTGATGGATTGTTGATTATGCCAACATTGGTAAATCCTTTTCATCATCCTAACATTATTGTCGTTATGGGCGCACATGATGAAAAAAGATAAATAAGTAAAAAAAATCTCTTTCCCTTGAAATGAAGATTACCAATCAAGAAAATAAATGTTCAAACGAATTTATATCTAATCACGAGTTATCCAAATTGTAAATGCTTTGCACAAAATGAAAATTGACCTTTATTCTGTGGTAATCATTTAATGTGTAATCAAAGCTAAAACAAGCCACAATCTCGGCAATGAAATAAACGACACAATTATAGCAGTTTATCATTTATTATCAGGCGAAATTCATCGCATTTCCCAGGTCCGGGTCCAAGGTTTGTCAAGAAAAAATTTAGACTACTGATTGCATTGCAATCCGCTCTTATTTTTGAAGACAAAAAGAAACGGTCATCCAAGTTCATTAAAAAGTGGATTTTCGACGCACATTCAAGAGAATTATCTCCCTTTCTCGATGCTACATTCTCGAACCCAGTAATCTTTTTCGGGATTGGCGCCCTTTTCGATTCTGCACTCCGTGTACCAGTAGGGGCGACCCCGCTTCATGCGGCTGTTCCCTTGACTGGCACGCCTGTCACGTGCGATGGCGAATTCTTTGGCCCGCTCTTTGGAAAGGAAAGCGCTCAGGTCACGCTTGCCTGGCATGAATGTGAAAGTAAAATTAATGGTAATGAAATGGACTCTCTGTCATAGAAAACGAATAAATAACTAAATAAATGTATGAAACGAAAAAGACAGATTAGGTGGGACAAACTTTGTAAGTAAAGAAATATCTTCTGCGGATTGAGCTAGTCTGCCTGCTGGCACCAGCCATTAACAAAGGTTAAAACTTTAACTTTCCATTCTAACACATATTTGCAATATATTATATTTTAGTCATGACCGTTTTCACAGCACAACTGATTTATTTGGATAAGATTAAATTTCTGTAAATATCCTGTAGGTTAGGCCTACAAGAAGATGACCACACTCACGTATAGCATACACGACCAAATCATAAATACGGAAACTATCTGACTGAAAACAGGGACATTCAACTTAAGGCATTACAAATGGGAAGTTTCCTACCTCTGAACTTTTCATCTCTCTTGGCAACTTGGCATACAGTGCCTGAAAAAAATATGTGGAAAAAGAAGCTTACAGTCGCCAGCTGCTAATGGGAACTACATGTTTAAAAATAACCTAAAGAATGCGTTTTCAAAGAGAACTGAAGAGAAAGTTCTGCGTCACGTGGTAGACCTATGTCCCTGATCCTCCGAACTGCCATTCTTTCCTTTCAAATACTTCTGGTGCCATGGTTACAGACTTAATTTTGTAGCCTATTTCACATTTTAACGAGAAATCATGTAGGTCTACATGGACTAAAATCAACAGATTTTAATAAATCATATTTATAAATTAACTAGGCCAACGTTAAAAAAAGACTTATATTAGACTTTTTGCCGTGAATTGTAAAGCAACCGTTATTACCTATTTTGAAAGAGTAGGCCTACTGATAGTAGGCTATCATTTAAAAAACTTATTTGAATTAAGTTCATACCGTTGATGAATACCAGCAGCATTAGAAAACACATCAGAATCGCTATTTGCCTCATGCTTATTGCTGTAACTCGATTCGTCTCGAGGGCAATAATGAAGATGAGGGGACTGCGACTTGTTAAATATAGGCCTACCTTGTGATGGAGTCGCTTTTACTAGTAGGCCTATTACCGGTTTTGCTGATATGGGTTATATATGAAATCAAGATCGAGCTGGCAATACCGGAATCTAGAACCTAGGGTATACGTAGGCCTACTAAGGATTTTGGATTTTTATCAGCTCATAGCAACATCAGTTTCATCTACGCAGTAAAAAGGATTCACCGCTGAACATCCAGCGGTGGGTCTTTTACGGTGTCACTTCAATTATACATATGTGTTTTTATAAAAAAAAATTAAGAAATGGAACCGAGGCACGACAAAAAATTGTATTGTCCTTTTAGAAAAATTTTTATTCGTGCTATCTACACAGCCGATCACTGGTGTATCTCCTTTGAATTACGCGCCAACCGCTTTTATAGTCCAGGGTCACATGACCCACGTGACATAAAAAGGGCGCTAACACCAGTATGCATATTCATATCACATATTTATATACAAGAGCTATTTATAATAAGGCACTTATATCAATGTACGCTACAATATACTATTACATATATATATATATTTATACCTGTGAATACATGAAATACATGTACCCTATTACAGAAATATTTTCAAAAAATTTTACTAGTTTTATAATGTTTTTGATGAACCAGTTCATTGTTTTTCTTCACTTGTTTGTTTGAGTTTTCATATCGTAGATAGGTTCAACAGTCCGAAACCTGAAATTCCACAAGAAATATTAAAAAGCAACAAAATGCCTTTTTTTTCTTTTTTTTTTTTACCAATAAGTCAATTAATACTAGTAGGCCTAGCGACGTTGAAGGTACATGTAATGTCTTCATGAGGGGGCGGGGCATTTGTGAATGATATGCCTATTTGTAGCTGTTTGCCAATAAGTCTAGTTTCCTGAGATCATATTCAGCATTTTTCTTTAATGATGAGGTTTTAACCAGTTATCTTTGTAAAAAAGAGTGTAACGCGGCTCCCTGTCATCGTAATACAGTCATCGGAGAACCGATCTATCTAGTATAGTGCTGTCTGCAATATTCATTTTTGACGCTAGGTGGCCTTCACCGCCTCGTTTCTATTCCAATATGTCTGCGCCCATAGCCATGTGTGCGTTTTAATTTTATCAGCTGTAAAGGCAGCAACGACACAACGAGAAGCATTTTGAAGGAAATAGAGAGTTGGTATGGGTTTTAATGGTCTTGGATGCTTATTCTCAGAGTTTTAATTTTTAAAGGTTTAAACTGCGAGTAGGTTACGCAAATTTGAAATCAAATTATATTTACAATATGTCAATTGTAAAAAAGTTAAAAATAAAATGTAAGATATAATCTTGACGGAAGGAAAGTAGTATTTTCACGTGGCGTGTGCGTGCGTGAATGTGTGATAGGCGTGACACAGGAGCTGTTGCCTGTTATTTATGTGTCTCAGGACGTGGTCTGCATATATATACATGTATTTATTGGCTAATTTGATTTTTTTACCTTTTCTAAATTTCAGACAGCAGCCAAAGCATCGATATTTCGCAGGTCAAATTTCGAAGGTCAACACAGACGACAGGGCACACCCAGAACTGTTGGCAACCTTAAATAACAAAGACTGAAAGAACTGGAACACTTACAGAATGACTGAAAAAGACCCAACTGAAGCCTGCACGAAAACAAAAAAGAAATCTAAGAAGCTGATACTGAAGCATCAAGGTGATCTAGACCCAGGGACGGTTGACACATCTTTGGTCAGTTCTGCTGAAACAGTTGACCTCAAAGAAGAGCCAAAAAAGAAGAAGAAGAAACATAAAAAGGAAAGGAAAGAGACCGATCTTGAATTGAGTGTATCGACAGTTAATGAGGTGGAATCAGATACTCCCAAGAAAAAGAAAAATAAAAATAAAGAAAACAGTGTGGAATGTGATGACACTCATGTTCCTGTACATGTAACAGACAGTGCAGAAGTAGAAAAGAAACCGAAGAAAAAGAAAAAGAGGAAAAATATGGAAGAAGCGTCCAATGTACCTTGCATTGGGGATGATGTTATTGTTGAAGAGTGCCAGATATTAAAGAAGAAGAAGAAAAAGAAGAAAGAAAAAGAAGCAAAAGAAGTTGATGGAGCCCCTGAGACTGAGTCCAAGATGATTGAGAATCAGGTTGTTAAAAGTAAGAAGATTAAAAAGTCTGATGATGAAGGCAATGTAGTTCATGCCATTGAAGATATACATGACCAAGGTGTGACCCCAAGTTCTAAACGAAAGAAAAAGAAGAAAGATAAAAGTGAGAGGGAGGTGGAAAGATCTCCCCCAGCATCTGAAATTGCTGAAGAACTTTCTTCTAAGAAGAAGAAAAAAAAGAAGAAAAAGAAAGATTCTGAAAAAGTAAATAGTGGCACTGAAAATGATGTTGTGGCAGTTACTGAAGACTGTCACGTAAAGCCTAAGAAAAGAAAATATGAACAAGAATCAGATAATTTTAAAGTTTTAGAGCAACAGACAGATCCAATTGAATATAGTATGGGTAAAACCAAAAAGAAAAAGAAAAATAGAGATGCTTCTCAGGCAGACAAAGAAAGCTCAAAAGAACATCTACAAAATGAGAATTTGACAGATAATGGTCAAAGTCAGAATCAGAGAGAGGAAAGTCATTCTAGCTTAAATGGCAAGGAAAAAGCAGATTCTGGAGATGCTAGCCGGAGTGAAAAATTAATGCGTTTGTTGGGTGGCTTTAGAAAAGTCCAGGCAAATGAAGAAGGGCAAAATACCAACTCTGGAGTGGCGTCAGTTGGCCAATGGAGTACAGCAAACTTGGGATCTTCAGACCGTCAGCAGAAATTCATGCGATTGCTGGGCGGTTTCAAAAAAGGGACCACTCCGACTAAAGATGGCGCCAGTGGTGCAGGTGGACTTGGAGGTAGGAAGGCGTTTAACAAGGAGGAGGAAGAGAAAGTTAACAGTGCCCTGGAGTCTCAGTTTCAGAAAGCCATGGAGATGAAGCTGAATACAACCAAAGGAATTGGTTTGGGGTTTCAGGAGGCTCCAGGTGCAAATAAAATATTTTATATCGACAAATCCAAAAGCAATTCTGTTAAGTTTGAGGACTCTGACTGAAGCCTCTTTTTTTTTTTCATGTTTTTCCTTGTAGGAGTACTTAACAGAGAAAATCATGCCATTTTTTTGTTACAGTGAATGTGTTAACAGAGGAATTGGGGAAATACTTGGTAATTAATTGTCCCTCTTTTTTGTTCAATGCTATTTGGTAAAGAAGATACTGTTTAGTACGAGACTAACACCACCTAACTGTGGTGAGGAAATTTTGTACCAGTCCAAAATTATTAAAACATTAAGAGAAAATGGCTCACATTATTTTTGCCAGTTTTGGGCATGATTTAGTTAATTTCACAGGCAGCCATGTTATTGGTGGTCATGGAAAAAACAAAAGGACAACCCCTTTTCATAAAAATGCACTAAGAAGACATTCTGTAGAAAAATGATGTTTATTTATATCATAATATTAAGAATAAACTTTGATCTACATCTACTAGCACTTTCAATACCACCTTTGAACTAAAGTGCTTGCAAACGAAGGGTATCAAACATAAGTGATGCAACAATACATAATGTATTACGTGGCAATATAATATCATACAATTAAAACAAAATGAGTATTTTGAGGTACTGAGTATTGTATTTTTATCTTGCTAATTTTCACAAGTAAATGATCTGTAAAATAGTGCAAAAATATAAAATAAGTGCATTGCATCAGTGCTCTTCTTGCTTTTCAAAAAGTTGAATCGGACAGAAATATGACAAAGAAATCCCTCTTCTTAAGTACTAAATATCTTAAGTTACCTCTGTAACAATAACTTACAAACAATAACAAACTTCCACTGGCTCTATAATTTGTCAGTCAAGTTCATCCAATGTAATTTTCTAAAAATAATTTGGAACAATTAAGCATGATTTCAATCTGTTATTAACAAACCATGATCATTTTACTCGATTTGCACATAAGACATAAAAAACAGTTGATCCCAATTTTTGCCTGGATTACGCAACTCTTTAAATCAGATGAACAAAGAGGTTAATTCCAAATTTTGTTTACATACTTTTCCTTTCAAAAAACTATTTTGTGAAATATGTGGGCTAAATTATTTGGCTTTTTATAAAAAAACAGTATATAATAGCCAATTAACTCATGTTTGGCATTTGCCACATTGAAATTGTCCAAGGTCATCTTAACATTGGTAACCTCTTCCCACAAAACTGAAAAGCCTAGTGCTGTGATCGATTCAATAAACTCACAAAATGAGAAAACTTCTTAAATGATGAGCAGTCACCGTTTTCTTCAGGAGAATTCTGCATCAGCTTGAAACAAAACTTATTTTCATCATTAACATATTAAAAACATACGGAAGAAAAAAGTCAGATCTTCAAGAAAAAAGTGACAATTAAAGCACCAATTGGCATTCACACTTTTAAACCAAGCATGGCAATGAATAACAAGCCCATTAAAGTGGCTCCATCTACATTTGTTTATCATGGGAAGTGCTTAAAAATATCTTACCACGTCATGGTATCTGTAACATGTCACAGCAAAATGTGCCTTATATATTACTTGAAATATATGTACACTTAATTGTATAAAACTGGTGAATACATATTTTGAGGCCAGTTAATGGGCTGTATATATCTAACATATGATTATGATCTTTGTAAATGGTCATGGGTGATTGGCAAGATACAGTCTTGATGATATTTGAGTAACTAACTACACTATACATGCTGATGTCATGGTTTCTCTCTTATACATTTAATGATATGTATTCATGTGCTTTGTAAAATGTAACAAAAATGCAAATTGTGTCCATCCTTGTAAGTTAAACTGTCAATCGGATGTTTGGTATACACTACAGAGTATAGCCTTCTACCTGATTTAAAAACAACTTTTTGCGTTGGAACTTTGAAATCCTCATTCACTTCACTGCTTTTCCTTATCCTAAATACAGACAAGATGAAACAAAAGTCTTTCACTTCATACAATCCTTTCAACAAAACTTGTTTCTTTTGTACACTATGCTACAGTCTTTGATTACATTTTATGATTATATAATGAACACTAACCACATCTGAAACAAGACCTAATGGAAATTACCTCTGGATCCACATCTGTGTATACGCATCAGACTATTCATATAATCAACTTCTTTTTGCAAAGTTGATGGAAACTTTAACATCAGAAGCATAAGTACCTGTATACATACGAAAGAGGCATATTTGATATGACATTACAATTTTCTGCATTGGCAATTGCAAGTTCTGCAAATATATATTTAATTTGTGTGTACATAATTTGTAATGACTGGAAGACGAGGATATAAAAGTCATGAAATTGTGACAAGAAACACTTAACACTCTGTCATTATGAAATTGAAAATCTAAATTCAAAATAAATTTAAGTAATGTGTACAATTGTGAGTATTTTCATTTTATGAAATTCATAAAAGACAAAAAATCATGAAATAAGAACTACACGTCCTTTAAAAAATTCAACATACAAATCAACCTAAAAATGCCAAAAAAATTGTGCAAAAAGTAAAATGCAGTATGGGTATAAAATGCAACATATGGTCCAAAAACAAACTGAAACATTCCAGGGTTTACAAATGTGTGGCAAAAAATAATAACAAAATAAGAAATATAAAATCCAACATAGATCTAGATTAAACATACACAAATTTGACTCTAAACTCACTTTATGATATAATCATTGGAACATTTAATGTTCGCCATTCTCATGTCTACTTCTATTCATTTCTATACAAATTTTAAATTGGTGCTTGTACAAAAAACACTAGTTGGTAGGTTATCTACTTGACATATTAGAGGATTAACTTGAGACAATCTTAAACACTTTTTTTCATATCTGTATGAAAACTATAACAGGCTAGAAAATGACTCAATATACATAATGAATAGAATCCAATGATAGGGTTAAAAGAATTGGCGTTTTTCAGTGGGCACTTGCTCTCCATAATTCAAATGGACCTCTTGCATAGTTTTATATTCAGTTAAAACCTGTTTTCAGATTTCAAAGTAACATGCTAACTTTACTTGTTTGATAAAATGTACTTATGTTGCAGGCAGCATATTTGGCAAGCTGCATTTATACATTCATAATATGCATAGTTAATGTAAATCCTAAGAAAAACAATGATCTCTCCATGAAAAACAATGATCCCTTTACAATATTTTTATATAAAATTGTAGTGCAAAAATACCTATAATAGAAACTCGCACGTACTACTTTGTCCATGACAATTCATAACGTTGGAGCCATTAACTAAATTGTTCACTTAAACTCTCTGAAGAATATCATCTTCTTAGGCACTAAGTTTTCTTCACTAAGTTTTCTTCTAATGGCCTTGAGTCTACACTGCTCAAAATCAAACTGAAAATATTTTTACTTGAAGAAATTATGCCATTTTATTCAGATCTTTGGATTTTTTTCTGTTCCTTCCACATTTCACTGCACTTGCATAATTTTTTCCCACTGTCTATATTTCTGGTGAAAGGAGAATGCATCTGTAAGCCTGCCAAAGTGTGGATGGCAGTGCTCGATATTTTACAATGCTATAGATGGCAGCACTTCTTGTCCTAAATCTGACACTTGGCAGTATGTATTATAAACGGCAGTGGGTCATAGAATTTCCAGTGGTAGACCAGTACATTCTACTGTCTGTAGTTCAAAAATTTGTTCTCCTCTGCTAACTGTGTCAACACAGACGACATGTCGTTGACCACCATATTTGATGTATCCACCATTGGCCCAGGTTTACCCTCGATACACGGGGTGGCATACCTAGATGACTGGTGCGACAAAGGCTGGTTGATTAGCGCAGTGGGACTAATAATGCTTCCATTGACATTCTCCATGGATATGGAGCTTATGTTTTCGATCAGATTGTCCGTTGTCATGGCGTTCAGATTTGCCACAAGTGGGTCATCAACGACTGGCGTGGGCGCCTCATCGTTGAGCTTTGGTGTGTGAATATCAGTTGAACTTGATACATGGTTACAGCCAGGTGACATCTGCATACCTATGACAGACCCTGGTTGCTGTTGCTGCTGCTGAGATTGCTGCTGTAATTGCTGCAACTGCTGGTGCTGCAGAGGCGCTTGCGGTGGAAGATACTGTGGAGGACGGTTGTTCTGATTGAGATTTGCATAGTTAGGCATGGCAGAGGGAGCATTTTGGTTGAAATTCACTGGCCTCTGTACCATGCCCCCCATGGGGTGGGGTTGTGCCGTAGGAGGGTGTGGTTGTATGGTGGGGCGGGGATTGGGCGGAGGGTGGGGCACAAATTGTTGCTGTCCCTGCCCATTGTACATCTGTGTTTGGTATCCCATCATGCCTTGCTGCTGAATGTGCTGCGGTGGCTGTGGCATCATGGGATTGTACCCCTGCTGCTGCTGTTGAAGCCCCTGCATGTTATTTTGGTTCTGCATCTGCTGTTCAATCTGCTGTTGTTTGGCAGCTTTCGCCCTTGCTGGGATCTGAGACTGACTGACTAAAGGAACTTGGATCTGGGGACTCTGTCTCTCCTGCTTTGGCATATTCATGGGCATCCGTGAGCCTGGCATGACTTGCATATTTGGGGGCCTAAACTGCTGACTCATGCCTTGGCTTAAATACTGCTGTTGAGCCATGGCCTGTGGTTGGTTCATTGAATGCTGTTGTACCACTGGCTGTGATTGGCCATACTGCATCTGTCCAGCTGCACCGTGCTGTCCGTAATTCTGCATTGGAACATTTTGGTTAAAGCCCTGTTGCATATTTGGATTGGGATATGGCTGCATAAGGTTTGGATTCTGGCACGGTATAGGAGGTTGCTGCTGTTGCATAGCTTGCTGCTGTTGTTGTTGTATATTGCCGTGAGGACAGCTGCAGTTCTGGGTGTGAACCAGCTGCTGGTTGGGTGGCATGAAACAACCACCTGGGACACCTTGGGGTGGAGGTGGTGGTTGAACAGAGGGTGGTTGTGGTGGCCGCTGTGCTGGAGGTGGTGGGGGTTGTTGTATCTGCTGCTGCTGTTGTGATGGGGGAGATGGCATCTGTTTCTGCATCTGCTCCATATTGCTGGCATTTTCAGCATTCTGCCTGTAAGATTCTTCGATAGCATCCATCCTAGACTGCATACGAGAACTGTCCTCCAGTGTGACCTCCGATGGGGCAAAATCGCTCATCTCGCCCTCTTCTGGGATCAGCGGTTGTGTCCTTTCATACAAGAACCGCCGCATCTCATCCGGAATGATGACATCATCGTTGTCCTCAATCATTTTCATTTCCAACTCCGCCTCATCTTCTGTCTCCATAGCAAAGCTCTGGTCTGCAAAGTACTGGGAACCAAAATCTGCTGACTCATCCCTGCTGAAGTTGGTGGCAATGCTACTTTGGGAAGATTTAAAGTTTTCATTGCTATCTGCCTTCTTGTGGAGACTACGCATTGAGGATGGCACTGGGAGAGGGCGCATGGCATTGAGACTGTGGAATCGCCTCTGTAGTTGCTTCAGAGCAGCAAAATTGGGGTCCACGCAGCGCACTGGGTCACTGGCTCTCCTCACTTCCCTGTTGGGGATCTCGTGAGGCAATGGCGTCCTGCAGGGGGTGCTGGTGTTGCACCTCCACATGTCTACTGGATTATCACGCCTTGACATCAGCAGGCGCGCAATTCTCTCGTTACTCAACCGACTGGAGGGACTCCTCAAGTTCACTGCCTGAGATGTCACCATCAGGTTAGGATTACTTCCCAGCTTGGCACGCGATAACTGTGCAGCAACGTTGCCAATACTGCTTGTCTCGCTGGACCTTCGAGAATTATGGGGTCTGTTCCCAGTGATGTCATACTCATAGGGGGAGTTAGTGATGCTGAGCCTGGCCGAGATCTGGGACGCCTCGCTGGACCTCCGACTTGAGAACTGGCTCCCAAATGGGAAGGGACTTGCATCCGAGCGTACACTGCTCAGGTAGGAGCTGATGGTGCTGGTGTTGCTGTCACGACGTCCTGCTTGGTAGCCCATCCCATTGGCCTGGGACTGGTCTGGAGTGGCAATAGCTGGAGAGATAATGTTAAAACCATCTTAGATAAATATTTTGGATAAAACGCTTTTTCAATTTACCCCTGACCAAAATGAACACTTCAAAATTAAACAGTCATGCATTCTTCCTCTTATTCAACTGCTTATAATTTTTTTCTGAAATTTCCATTTTTGTTCCTTTTTGTTCTCATATCAAACACTCAAACACAGATCTGCAACTGATCCACCCCATCATATATTTCTACACATCCACATATGGCCATTCACTTCTTATACATATGTGCAAGCAATATACATGCCACACAAATACAATATACACAGATTTGAATATACACAGCATATGAAGAGATAGAAATTCCAGTCTTACCAGTGAGATCTGTTATCCTCTTGTGATGTGGATTGCTCTGTTTGATCTGGGTCATCCTGTTACTGAGGTCAGTCAGCGACGGTGCTGACCCCTGGCCACTGCCAGAACCAACACGCTTGTGACCTGGAGCAAAATATTTGACCTCTGTTAATATACTTTCTGAACTTTCATAATAACTTCTTTGATCTCTATTAGTAACCTTTTTGCTAAAGTACAAATGCATTTTATTCAATTACACTTTTCAATTCAATAAGCTAATTTTTATCAAAGACAAATAACTTTTTTCCCTGTCCAGTTGCAGTTTTCAGATAGCATTTCAAAGTAGACTATTTTAACAAACAATAGGACTGCAAATTTATTATCATTTAATCTCACTTTAATTTTATTACACAGTCACATTAATAACAGAATTATATAGTTATGGAAAAAATATAATAAGAGTAGGGCCACAAGCAGTTGCACAAATTCCAGACTTACCATTTAAAGCCGGTAAAGACGGGAGTGAAGGTGTGGTGGTTGTACTCTTCCCAAGTCTGGCTTTCAGTCCTTTCTGTCTGTTCCTGGCATTGTTATTCTGTACCCGGGAAGCTGTGCTCACACCACTGCCTGAGCCAGGAATCTGGGGGAAATAGGGTGATAAGCTTGAGTGTTTTATCCTTGAGAGTCAACTCTGGTAACATAACTTAAATATGCTGTTATACTATAAGTAAGAACTTGTATGGAGTGACTGTGTTGGGATTTGAAGCAAGAACATTTTTCTTTTCAGCCCTTAAAATCAAATCACAAAGGTCTTGCCAACCAAAGGCACTGGTAGAAGCGAATTTAGCTCAGGGGGACATAACTGCTGGAGAAAATGGCTTGATTTATGATTGGAAGTGATGGAATTGGGGAGTCAAAAAATAATTCTGAACATATATATGAAGCATTGAGGAATCTGAATTTTGCAAATTGGGAAAAAATCCTTTTCAGGGACGAGACTGCCAATCAGTGAAAAAATCTGAAAATATGGTGGAAGGTCCAGGGGGCCCTCTGCATTGATCTCAAGATTATTATTTGTGGCTCTCAAAAGGTAAAAAAATCGGCCGAAAATTGGAAAAATCTCATTAGTGTTATTATCCCCTTTCCATTTTGCCCTACCTCAATGTCCTCGGCCTCTGTAAGTTCAAAGTCTTCCTCGTACTCCACAGTGCTGCTGATGGTGTCCCCCATCCCCTCATCGTCATGGAGATTGCCAATGTTCGGAACCGGGTGCTCAGTCTTAACCACGTTGATTTCCACGTCTTTGTCGCTGGATGACGGACTGTGTTGTTGCTGGGAGGTGACAGCGCCAGCACTGTCCTGAATGTTAAAGAACATCGGGTCAGTGTGACTCTCAAAATTGAATAAGCATTACTCAAACTATATTTACAATGTTTCAAATCTATCCCCATATTCATCAAAAATTTTTTTAAAATCTATTGTTGTATTCAAAGTCATGAAATGATTATGTCAACACTGTCTGCCTCATGAGAACTTAGCACAAATATGATGTTCCCACTATTCAACCCCTGACTAACATACTAGGTTGTAAAGATTTTGGTTACCTGTGACCTCCTTCTCTCCCCTGCCACACCCTGTAACTGAGTCACCATCAAACATTCTTCCACCTTCTTATCCTTGGTGTCTTTATCCTCCTGAAGGGAAAAGGGACCATTTAAAATGACCTTAACTCAAATTGCAATTAATTTGCTTTGTTACTTTATGTGTTGTTCTAAAGTTGAAAGAGTTAACCTGGATAAAAACAGGCTAAAATTTTCTGGTTTGAAAGAGAATAAATTCAGACTTAAAAGTAAAGACTAATTTCAACTTTCAAGTTTTTTTTCTGTGTGTGATAAGTAATAAATATCTGCATTATGAGAACTAAAACACTGTAAACCTTGAAGAAATATGTGCTTACATCCTCTCCATCCTTGTCATGGTCCATATTTGACTCGTGTCCCTTGTGTTTCTTGTTGGCATAGAAGTCTGGTCCATGAACTGTCTTGACGTGTTTGCGTAGAGAACTCGGGTCTGTGTATCTCTTCGTACACCCAGGAGCTTTACACACATACGGTTTCTTAAATTAACAAAATAAATAGAAGTAAACTTATTTGTATATGGTTGCTTAAATTGAAATAAATAACTAAATAAATAAATTTATTATTAAATAAATTGCATGTGCACACTTGATAATGCATATCTATGGCAAGAACGATGTGTAATGAATAACTGTATTCTCAGAAATATGCACTTGGAAAAAATTTCAGACCTCAGTCCACTGTGCATTACGTAGAAGCAATTTGATAAATTAAAGCATGTACAACTATTTACATCAAAATGTTGGCATTAATACAAATAAGGATTTAAATGCATTCTACTGCAAGTCGACAAAGTTAACAGTAAACACCAGTGAAATTAAACTGGCCAAACAAGAAAATGTTTGTAAATTAGTTAAGTTACTAAGCCTATAGCTATGTTTCTGCTATTGGGGAGTAGCTTTTCAGCCCCTGGTGGGCAACAGTGCTAGCAGGCTAACACATTTTGAGAGGAGACTGTACAAATGCTTATAACTCACAGCATTGGAATGGGTCCTATTTTGGTGCTTGGCTCTGTCTGAGGCATTGCTGAAGGCCTTGGTACAGCCTGGGAACTCACACATGTAGGGTTTCTCTCCCGTGTGGGACCTTAGGTGTGTCTTCAGATTCTCTAGACGTGAGTAAGCCTTGTTACAGCCTTCAAACTGAAACACATAAAGAATATTTGTAAAAACAAGATTTACATGCAACATCAAGCTGTGTATTATAACTTGTCATCAAAACAAAGAAGTTAAAGAGACTCATTATGTGAGTTATTTATCAGAAGGCAACTCCAACTCCATTATATTTCTAAAACAAAATTATATATTACTTTTTTCATCAATGTAAGTTAACTGCATATCTCATGGGTTTTTCTACAGATACAATGGGCAATGTCACATGAAATTAATTCAATTTATAATGTTCTTGCCAAAATGAATAGATAAAAAAATTGATAAACAAAATAATGATGCCAAATTATCTGTCCTACATACTGTGCATTTATGTGGTTTCTCCCCCGTGTGTCTCCTCATGTGGACCACCAACATGTACTGAGCTTTGAATGGCTTTTCTTCCCTACTGCACTCATTCCAGCGACACACAAAGGCCTTTTTATTGGTCTGTATGTGATCTTGGTTGATATGCTGTTGGAAGTGATTAATAATATAAAATGTTATTAATTCAAAATATATGGAACTAAGGAGTCTCTTAAAAGTACATAAAAGTACAGAAAATGTTTTTAACTGATGTCACAGCCTTTATAAATACCTCCTCTAAACAATAGACATTTCCAGGGTTTAATGAAACATCTTAACATGAACTTATCCCTTTATATATTTGACTTTGCGAATTTCATGATATTGCATTCAATCTAAATCAACACCTATGCTATTTAACCAACTTGTATAATTCAACCCTTACATTAAATCATATGATCCAACACTTACCTTGACTAACTCATCTAACTTAATTCCCACACTAAACTATTTAAATGACTACCTCATCTTATCCTCCACCTACCCTGACCAACTCATCCTGTGTCTCAAACTCCAGAGAGCAGTCCACCCAGTGACAGTTGGTCTCTATGAAGTCTGGCTCTCCCTCCTGAGGCTGACGGCCTGGTTCTCCCGTGGTGTCTATCATATGCTTCTCATCTTCATCTGAATGAAAAAATATGGAAATCATTTTGGAAAAATTTTATTTCTGTGTAAGTGTGTGTGTGTTTGTGTCTTGCTCACATTGTCAGATATGTGACCCAGACTCTTATAGGAGGGGTTAAAACATAATGCCTCACAGGTAGAAAAACATGTCATGTCTCTTTAGAAACAACTTTTTTCTCATAAATCATTATGTTTAACACTCAAAAGCTCACTAATATAAATTGATTCCGAATAAAAATATGTATTCTTTCTGTAAGTTACCCTCAATTTCAGAACTGCACTTTAAACAAAACATTTTTCTGATCACAATTTCTTACACTAGTGGGCCTGATTTGATCTTAAAGTGCAATTTCAGTCTAACACTAGACTGAACCGGTCTTAAAAATTAAGGAGGGACTCTTAATTTAGTCTTAAGACTAAAAACAAACTTAAACTGTAGTGAGTAAGACTATAATTGGTCTAAATTCAACTGAAGTGGCAAAGCAGTTATCTCCCCACACACATTCAGACCAGACTTGGACTTACTATCCAGCCAGACAGGTGAAGATAGCAATCAAGTAGAGGGCCATTGTGTGAGTAGCAAAGGGTGGTCTCTTGGCAAGTAAGTGTTAATTGCCTAATTGATAAGGGTGATTCAGATACTGTCTCAGATAATTTCTAAAGTAAGGAAAGATTTGGTTGTGGAAGTACTAGTGCAGCATACTTTTAATATTGTTTTGAAGGAAGTCTTCCTTTCTTTGTTTTCTTTTTCTTTGATTTTGATTTATATCTAAAGGGTGAATCAGATACTACCTCAGATAATTCCTAAAGCAGGGAAAATGTAGCATACATTTAACAATTTTTCTTTATTAAAAGGTTTTGACATTTAGTATTTGTTATTGTTCCAAGAAATGTGAATGCAAGGCAGTGAAAAACAAGGTACAGTTATTTTAATTGTAAATCAAGTTTCCTTTTATTTGTACCAAATACTCATATACAATTCACAAAAAAAATTGAAAATACAAAATTACTTTTTTACTTTTAAAACATGGTAACACTTTAATTACAGGCACATCAGTATTCACAATTATAAATTAAATCGTATCTATTCCACATTTATCTTGATCCTTAAATTCTTTTAATTATGATATGGCAAGTTCTCTGCTGTACAATTTCCTTGCTGCGTTTGTCCTAAAAAATCTCTTTTAAAATGTCCAAAGTTCTGTCCATCTCTTCCTTGGAAATGTAATTTTTGTTACGAAAACATGAGTTGATGTGGCACTTGCCCAAATAGTCCATTCCTTTCGATTAACCACTCAGTGAGGACTTGCCCTCTTTTCTTCAGACTTATACAGACATTGTGAAACAGTGTGGGTCTTGTTAGATGTTTTTTTCCCACCTCAGAAAGAACTGGATTTCTTTTTTTCAAAAAATAAATTCCAGGGAAACAAAATGGTACCACTCAGTGATATTAGCAAACCCCTTGTAACAGCTGTAGATGGTGATTTTATTTGGTTTATCAATGTTTGATAAAATGTTTTTTGATCAGAAAAATCAAAGAAAGAAAAAAGAGAGAAAGACTTCCTTCAAAGGCAAAAATCAAGAAATAAATGTATATTGTTTTGAATATCAAATTCTAACATAAAATTCCTGTGGTATAATGTGGTTTTAAATAAAATTAAAACTGTACATTTTTATGTTAGATGGAAGTGACTTTTCAATTGTTTGTGACAAATAAAAGGTCATGTCTAATTTTAAAATAAATGTACCTTGTTTGTTAATGCTTTCAAAACTATATTCCTAAGCTCTTATGTCAAAACATTAAAAGTATGCTGCACTAGTACTTCCACAACCAAATCTTTCCTTGCTTTAGAAATTATCTGAGACAGTATCTGAATCACCCTTATCAATTAGGCAATTAGCACTTACTTGCCAAGAGACCACCCTTTGCTACTCACAAAATGGCCCTCTACTTGATTGCTATCTTCACCTGTCTGGCTGGATAGTAAGTCCAAGTCTGGTCTGAATGTGTGTGGGGAGATAATTGCTTTGCCACTTCAGTTAAATTTAGACCAATTATAGTCTTACTCACTGCAGTTTAAGTTTGTTTTTAGTCTTAAGACTAAATTAAGAGTCCCTCCTTAATTTTTAAGACCGGTTCAGTCTAGTGTTAGACTGAAATTGCACTTTAAGATCAAATCAGGCCCACTAGTGTTAGGACAATACAGAAATAATTCATACCGATGTAATCTATATTATTTAACTACCAGGGATTGATGCAATCTATATTATTTAAGATCCATGGCCACTGAAGTTTACCTATTGGCATATATTCTTTCTTAATTTTGGACCTTTTGGCGTCTGCGGCTGCATCTACTGTACTGCTGACCACACTAACACTAGGATCTCTGACTTGTGGATGACTGGGAGGCTGGAAGAGAGATAAATAATGTGTAATATGAATATATAACAATATCTTTAGTGTGTGTGTGTGTGAATAAAAAAATGTGGCCATATTTTAAAATCTGTGGCACAAGTATTAGTTGGTTTGAAGATATGGTTTGACAGCATTTTAAGTATTTTTTATAAGTGATGCCCCTCTGGTAACCTGTGTTATTCACAGGGAAGACAGATGGTCCTAATATATTGTGTCTTGACTTAGCTAAACATGGTCAACAGAGGGTTTGGAGTTCTATACACATATGACTTGCACGTTAAATGTCAATGTATTTACGGTATAATCAAAAAAATTTTCAAAAAATAAATAAATCAATAAATAAAAGAAAAGAAAGACAGAAGTGCTTGTTTTCCTCACCTGAGATTCATGTTTACTAGCACCAAGCGGCTGCACCATGGGTTGTCCCGGCGGTAGCAGTGGACCCCCTGCGCCAGAGTGCTGCCGCGCGTAGAGCGATGGATGCATCATTGGCGGGAAGAATGGCGAGCCAGGAAGACTGGGATGACGCATGTACGGATTCGACAGTGCCGCGTGAGCTGGGCTCAGAGTTCCAAATGATGCTATGTAAGAGAAAGGGGTAGAGAACAAAATAAGTAATTAAGCTTACATAATAACAGTAGTCTCTTGGCCTATTTTGTGTGTTGCCTAGCTAACATTTTTGCCTGGATTTCATGAAATATTTTTTCTTCTTCTGGAATATGTTGAAGAATCTTAAATCAATGAATTTCTTTTTTTCAAAACTGACAAGCATCCTATCATTGGTCTTTACAATAGATCATTTAAATCAAGACCGCATTGAACATGAAAAACTTTCATATTTTAATGCTAAAATAAAGGTAAGTATCAGTAAAGAGTTCATATGTTTCTGCCTATTGTTGTAAAATGTTCAACATGCTTTTTAAATCATCCAAATAATTTAGCTTTCTTAGTAAGTCACTGCTCATGCTACATTTGAAACTGCACAGGTTTTAGTTTGTTTTTTCACATGAACTAGCTACTATATTTAACTAATTGTGCTAGGTGCGTCAACTCCATTGGTTGCAATGCATTTGTAGTAGTAGTGACAGACAATACATGTAGCCATCGAAAATGTGACCGTACATACATGCAATTTTTTTAATCTATTTTTTTTTATGTAATGCAATTTGAGATATGAGAAATTACATTATTACCAGTCTTTTATATCACCAAGCATATACATGCTCAATTTTGAAAGCTGGAAGACATATGGCAGCTTTAGATAAGGAATGCAATTTCACAGTAACAAAAAGATCTGTGAAATCTCCACAACTGAGGAAGTTCTAACTACCCTGTATTCTTCCATCACAAATATTGAAATCCCCAAATGATCAATCTGTCAAATGCCATTAAATCTCCATGCAAATTTACCAACAAAGAGACAAATACAGCAGCTACTAGCCGGCTAACAAAAAACTATTGGAACTAATCAGTCACTAGATTGAGGAATTATAGAGCCAATGTGTAGCTAGTTGGTGCAAATGTCTACCCCTACTTTTCCATCTTCAGCCTGGTCATTCCTACCTTCCATTCTGTGGCCTATTTTCATACCTGCTGACAAGTGGCCATAGGAGCCGCTGGCAGCACTGGAGCTCCGTGAGTGGTGCATCAATGGTGTCAGCTGCAGCGAACCTTCCGAACTCCGCGTTAAACTTTGGATATCCAAATAGTCAGATATCGGAGAGTGAGACAACGCCCTCTTCCGGCTCTTGCCTCCTATTACTGATGGTCTTGGACTTGTTAATCTTGAACCTGGAGAACATGTTCATCCTTAACCACTTGTCCAGTTAAAAACAGTAAAGTTCAATGATATTTCAAAAATTAAAATAGAAAAACATTCGATAAGAGAACATTAAGATGATTCAGCATATTGAATATGAAAAAGTTACAGTTTTTATATTAATAGAAGAGAGATGGTAAAGGCTAATTTTATTTTCAAATAACAACAACAACGAAATCCAATATATTTTTTAAAAAATAGTACACAGAGAGCTTTAAGACATAGAAAAAACAATCACGTTACAGTGTCCCTGACTTACTTTCTAGTGAACCAGGAAGAGTTATACTTCCACTTCCTGGCGTAGCAGGAACATCAGAAAACAAACTTCTTTGACTCGGCGCTGGCCGTAGGTGCTCTGTAGGAAGATATGTTGGAGCACCTGTAAGTAAAAGAACAAAAATATACACTTAAAAATACAAATGATTTCCATTCACATTAAAGCAAAGAATTTAATCACTGTGAGATGTGCTTATACAAGCATGCAGACCTACAATTCTTGAATTTCGCAAGCTCAATTACACACACCATCTTCATGTTCCCTTACCCATCAAACTCGCAGGACTGAGTCCCCTGGCGGACAGCGGGCTCTGGAACGCTGCTGCCCTCTGGTATTGTTCCCAGTGTATCCTGGACGCTAAGTGTGCCAATGGCTCCCCTGAACCCCGCCTCTCTAGGTTAATTATTGATGAGATGTCTGACTGGGCTGGACTGGTTGGCAACCTGGGATGTCAATGATATGCAGGGTGTGAGGTTGAAAATTAATAAACAATGTGCAAGTAATTTTCTGTTTTTTTCTTTTCTTTATTTGTAAATATGATTTTACCCAAAGCATTTGGTTATATTTCAAATGCTAACGTAAGAAACGCTATTTGCCAATTTTCATATTTCAATTGTTGAATACCATTTGTTAAGCAGTCCCTACAAATTTACTCATTTATTGTCTATAATTGACCACTTCATGACATAGTATGCCTAAGTAAAACTGCCAACTTTTCCAGAATACCTAACACAAAAGCTTATGCACAACATAGATTGCAAAAGATCTAAAATAATCTAGCTGAGGATTTCAAAATATCCATTTAAAGAAGAACAAATCAAGTTAATTCCTCACATTGGTGGTGGCCAGTGATACCGTCCATCGTGGGTCTGTGACGTCACCGGCAACGGATGGTTGACAGCATACGGATGTGCATATGGATATGGAAATGCTAAAAAGATAAGTATGTGATTCAGTCATGACCTACGGATGAATGCAGTGAAACCAAAAAATCCACCAAATGACATTTCTAAAAATTCTAGAAACTGCTCCCCTCAAACTTTTGCATTAGTCACTTGTCTGATAAATTTTTCTAACCAAGAATCTATTGTATATTAGTCATGCAAATGCATGGACTGGGACTACGCTTTAACATTAACTAGATATAAACAGACTAGAATTTGTCACAATGAAATAGAACAGAATAGCTCACCATAATGTGGATCTGCCATCAATCCATTCCTAGGGTCCATATAAGGATGGATACCAAAGGGGTACGACGGGATGCGGTACTCAGGGGCATGTGGAGGGGGTAGAGGGGTGGGGCCCACTCCACGGTCTATAAGTTCTGGCGGGTGGGTGTCGTCTGACCCATTGGTTGTGCTAGGCTCCTCGTCTACTCGAGCTAAGGTACTGGATGGGCGACTCGCTGAGGTGCCAGTACTCTTCCTCTTTGGTAGATCTGAAAGTGTATAATATAATATAATATAATATAATATAATATAATATAATATAATATAATATAATATAATATAATATAATATGTTTACTGAGCAATAAATGTTTAATTCAACAATATTAAAAAATTCTGCATTCCACAAGTATGTCTTAATACTGTACATCTAACAATATTAATTTATATCTTAATTTTTTGTATCAGCATGTGCTGCTGACATTTCGTATTGTGAGATAATACCAGGCACACTAATACACTTTTTAAAATTAGTTTTTAAAAATTCAGGAAGGTGGCATTTTTAAAAGATACTATATTCACAGTGTATTTAATTTTAACCAAAAAAACACGAAAACAAATTTCTTTAAAAATATTTATAGTAATTTAAGTGAGATCCTTACAATAAAAATTTACAAAGCATCCCATTGAACAAAGTTTTTCTTTCGAAACTGACATTAGCTATAAACTTAATACTGCCCAATATAAAAGAGACACCTGAAAATAATTTTCCAGGCCATTTTCCAGATCATTTCAAGGGGGTCAAACAGAAATAAGACACTAGGAGAGCTGCAGGGCACCAGAAGACTCCAGAGAAGTAGTAGAAAGAGGCATGTGTTTCTGGATCAAGCAATGTTTATTCAGTTGCCAGATTAGTCAGATTCCTGCTCTGTGCTCTCCTCAGGGAATGTTTGTTTAAGCTCCTCAAGGTTTGGTTTTGCTTAGTGTCTGACCATCTTCTGCTCCACACCAGTTATTGTGTTTAAGAGCTAGGCAGCAGATGTGTTTTGTGAAATATGTTCAAATTATTTGTCTTTTTTTTTTTTTTTTTTGGTATTTCTCTTTCTGAGAAAATGTATTTATATCGAATCAAACTACTTTAAAAAGAATGGTTTGAGGAAGCTATATCAATTTTTTCCATCTTGTTAAACAGGCCAAAAGTAAACAACCCTAGAAGTCTCTGATATGTGTATTATTTGTCACTCTACAAATAAAAAACAGCGAATCATTATTCGTGAGGCAGATAAGGCTCTGTTTGTCACTCTACAAATAAAAAACAGCGAATCATTATTCGTGAGGCAGAATAACTGTTCACAACTTCGTTAAACCAAAGCCTTACTGACACCGCCCCCTTCCCCCAGCTCAAATACGTTGCACAATTGAAAGCAAGCCACATTATCCCCTAATAGATCTCCCCTGCATTCCAAGCATGTCCATCTTTCAGGGATTATGCAGCATGCTTTCAAGTGGGTCGCACCATATTTGAGTTAGGTCCAGGGCTCAGTAATGCGAAAGCATCGCTCACTGCAACTGAGTGCAAGTGTCTCAATTCCATAACTCGCCCATACTCGCCCCACATAATACACTGTAGCCTCTATGTGATATCGCTATTCGCAATACGCGATGCTTTCGAGTTACAGAGCCCAGCTCAACATGGTTGTGAACAGAGCAACAGTGTAAGTCTTAGAAGTGTTTCTTCCCCAGTTAAGTTCAATCTATGGCACAGTATTTAGACACAGCCTCTCCAGGAACACATTAACTTCCCTAAGTGCTCTATTGTGACAGATGGTTGCTGCTTGTTTTGACGCCACAACCAGACTGAAAACATTTATAAATACAGAGATGTCAAGTTGGTTCTTTTTATTCTCCTTTTTTTTTCAAGTAACTATGAAGGGGCATATAAAATTGAGGAAAAGCAGAGTGGTGAAAAAGAGTTTCTTTTCCCTTTTTTTTTTCATTAATTATTCATCAAATTGGGTGTGAAAAAGTGACATTGTAGGTGATCCAGGCTATGGAAAAGTCATTCTGGCTTTTTTAATATTGAACTACTCAAAGGAGAGAAAAATCCAGCTCAATACTTAAATACAGAATAGCAGACATAATAATCATTTGAGGGGCCACATTCTGCAAAAAAGAAATGCGTAAAACACCCATACCAGTACCACTGAAACCAAAACACATTTGGCCGATATAGCGACAATTAACCTCCTTGTAACAAACACCAATGAGACAACCATGAACCACCGAACGCAATGTAAAACACCCAATAAATAAACCCTCCACTTCCGCTGCAGGGTGCCTGGTCCCATACAGCCTGTTATCGCCCACTTTTCATCTCTCTCTCCCTATAAATATCTGTGGGACACGTGGAGTTGTTCTGTAATTGAAAACTTCCTTCAACACTCCCCAGGAAACACATGGTGTCTGAATGTCAAAATGGAAGCCCTCTTGTACAGAGTTAAAAGGGACTTTTTTAAGGGGGTTGGGGGGAGGGGGGGGTGCAATTATGGCACCATGTGCTTAAACTGTAGGCAGGTAGAACTATAAAAGGTGCTTCTCTTTGATGCTGCTACATTTCTCAGGAATACTATTTTATGAGGTAACATTACAGTGACAGCTTACAAGTGTTTTAAATACAGAGATAAAGGAACAATTTTTTGGCAAAATATTTCTATGTACTTTAACTTTGTGATATAGAACTTTAAATAAGGAAACCAACCCTTTCAAACTGCTTCAATGCCAGAAACACTATTTCACGTCTAAAAGCACCAAAATTCAAGGTTATTGTTCTCATAAATCTATTCACTTTCCAAAAAATAATTAAAAGGTAAGGATACAACTTCAATGCTAAAAAAATCATTTTTACAAAAAAATTACTAAAATTCAAAGGTAATTCTTGATTTAGCAGAAGACAGGCAAAGCCAAAACAATTTTTTAAATGTTCATCAATAGTGCATTTTGTAAAACAGATTCAGTAAGAAGAGGGAGGCAACAGGGGGCTGTTGACAGCAACCTCCTCACCAACCCAGGCAAATTATTTATTTGTTTTATATTGACAAAGGAAAAAAAACACAAAAGCTTCTTTTTACTTCTTTTGCACGTCTCTCCCACAAATAAACTGTAATCCTCAATATGCGAACATCATTAAGACAAACAGTTATTTCCACTCTGCAACTTGGCAGTAATTTCCACACCTCTCTGTAAGACTACAAATCAAATCATGCAAAATTTGATCAAGCTGTTAGTGCCAAACATCAAAACTTATGATAAAGCATTCTGTACATACGCGAAGTGCCAGAAGCCCTTAGTGCGGCTTCTACAAAAGGAACATTCTGATTCCCCAGTTTCTCAGTGAGACCTTTGTAAAGTTTTCCCGAGTTTTGGCAAATCTAAACACTGGCAGAGTAACTGTAAAGGTTGTGGCAGTCCACCATTCATTGAGAATTCACTTCTGACTTCATGAACAGCAACCCGCAGATGCAGCGGAGGGGGAGAGTGTTGAAACTGAAGCATATTGATAAACATGACATCCTTTCTCTCAAAATTTCTTATGTCACTTTTGGCTATATTTTAATGTCATTCAAGGTCACTTGCTCGTGTGACAGGTCAATGACTTGTGAACAAGCAAAAAATAGCTTTGATTCTCAAGGCCAATTCAATTTGGCGAAAAACAAAAACCCCTAGACAGAACACCTTTCAATAAACCCAATCCCAGAGAACTAATTTTCACCACTTTTTTGGAACACTTGCTGAAGGGGGTACCTTTAAGGGTTTCAATTCTCCAGATTTCAGGAATTAATAGCGGCAGGTCAAACGGTCAAAGCCATAACAATGCTCCCCTGCCATTACTCCTCACCCTGTTGAAAAGCAGAAGGCTCCCATTAGAGAGGGAAGAGGATAATAAATGTCTGGTTGGGTCATGTAGAACAATACTCGGATACGTTGCATAGATGAAGGGTTTTGTGTTTGTGGCAAGGTACATGCGGTGACCTATGACATAACTAAGCTTTTACTGCTGTCGAGACTGATGAGCTTTTTTTTTTTTTCGTTTGCTTTTCATTTTTNGGGGGGGTGCAATTATGGCACCATGTGCTTAAACTGTAGGCAGGTAGAACTATAAAAGGTGCTTCTCTTTGATGCTGCTACATTTCTCAGGAATACTATTTTATGAGGTAACATTACAGTGACAGCTTACAAGTGTTTTAAATACAGAGATAAAGGAACAATTTTTTGGCAAAATATTTCTATGTACTTTAACTTTGTGATATAGTACTTTAAATAAGGAAACCAACCCTTTCAAAATGCTTCAATGCCAGAAACACTATTTCACGTCTAAAAGCACCAAAATTCAAGGTTATTGTTCTCATAAATCTATTCACTTTCCAAAAAATAATTAAAAGGTAAGGATACAACTTCAATGCTAAAAAAATCATTTTTACAAAAAAATTACTAAAATTCAAAGGTAATTCTTGATTTAGCAGAAGACAGGCAAAGCCAAAACAATTTTTTAAATGTTCATCAATAGTGCATTTTGTAAAACAGATTCAGTAAGAAGAGGGAGGCAACAGGGGGCTGTTGACAGCAACCTCCTCACCAACCCAGGCAAATTATTTATTTGTTTTATATTGACAAAGGAAAAAAAACACAAAAGCTTCTTTTTACTTCTTTTGCACGTCTCTCCCACAAATAAACTGTAATCCTCAATATGCGAACATCATTAAGACAAACAGTTATTTCCACTCTGCAACTTGGCAGTAATTTCCACACCTCTCTGTAAGACTACAAATCAAATCATGCAAAATTTGATCAAGCTGTTAGTGCCAAACATCAAAACTTATGATAAAGCATTCTGTACATACGCGAAGTGCCAGAAGCCCTTAGTGCGGCTTCTACAAAAGGAACATTCTGATTCCCCAGTTTCTCAGTGAGACCTTTGTAAAGTTTTCCCGAGTTTTGGCAAATCTAAACACTGGCAGAGTAACTGTAAAGGTTGTGGCAGTCCACCATTCATTGAGAATTCACTTCTGACTTCATGAACAGCAACCCGCAGATGCAGCGGAGGGGGAGAGTGTTGAAACTGAAGCATATTGATAAACATGACATCCTTTCTCTCAAAATTTCTTATGTCACTTTTGGCTATATTTTAATGTCATTCAAGGTCACTTGCTCGTGTGACAGGTCAATGACTTGTGAACAAGCAAAAAATAGCTTTGATTCTCAAGGCCAATTCA